GGGGGGGGGGGGGGGGAGGGGGGTTTAGGGTTTAGGGTTTAGGGTTTAGGGTTTAGGGGGGGCCTTAGGTGTGGGAGAGGGGCTTAAGGCTTGGGGCCTAGAGTGCACGATTTCAGGGCTTGCGTGTTCGGGCTCGGGCTATCAGGTCCTCGAACTCCTAAGCGGGCCTGGTCTCCTTTGACGTGTAGAGTTGAGGGTTCAGGGTTGGGATCAGCAGGTTGAACTCCATCCATCCCCCCAGCTATCCAGCTATCTATCTATCCGTGCATATGGGAACGCGCAGACATGATTGCTTGGGGCTGAGGGTCCAAGTTCAGGGTGCCCCCCCTGATGCCTCCTCTTGCGTGGTAGTGAGAATGGTAGTGAGGCTGGTAGAGTGGCAGTGATTGGACATGATGAATCTTCCGATCAAGATGCCCATCATTCCGACAACTTACGCTGGATGGGACCTAGCCTACGAGCCCCGGACCCTCATAGAGATAAAGGGCTAGGAATCATTTCCCAGACCTCGAGAGGATCTAGAATCTAGAAAGACGAACACCGAGTTTGAGACCCGAGGCTCTTCATAGGAACCCCGATTAGGGCATCTCCTTGTTAGATCCTCCGAAGGATCCGGGCTGTTCTAGAAGATGTTGCCCCTGGAATGCGGAGCCCAGCTGCGAGAGCATGACGATGTTCAGGACGTCATCGACTGGCGCCTCTTCAAACTAACGTAGGGGCCTTAATAATTAGAATAGGGTTTGGGGGTCCATTATACTACAATCACAATAAGGAACCCCCACAACAGTACTGGAAACTATTTCGGCCCCTATACTAAGCCTCCATAAAGGCTCCCTTTAGGCCCGGGTGGGCGCTACACTCTGGTTCTCCCGACGGCTTTGGGGGTCTTGGGGTTCTGGGTGTGGGCTGAAGCTCTCAACTTCCCCTTGGAATTGATTAGGGTTTAGGGTTTGGGGGCTTCGACTGTTGGTTTCCATAATCTGGTGTGCAGGCTGTGAGGCTGTAGGGATTCTAAGTCTTGGCTGTTGGCTTCGTGTCAATGTTCACAACTTGACGGCGGTGAGACAACAAGCGGATAATCAGCATAGTCATAAGATGTCATGAGATTAGAGTGATGATCACCACTGCGTTCAAAAGACGGGAACAAGCTCTTGCGAATTTGTACCAAGAACCCTCAAAGAACCCGTAAAGCGACCTGAAAGAGCTTCTAAAGGAGCCCTTAAACGAAGCCTGTAAGCCAATAAGCATGAGAACCCTTAAACAAACCCTGACGAATCCGAGAAGAACCCCCCCCCCCCCCCCCCC